TTTCGGCTCATTGGCTATTAACCAATACGCCAGGGGTTCGGACGCTGTTACACCTACCGGGGTTTGGGCTGCCAGGTTGTATCACTAGCTGTTACACAATAGGTGTGGTTCATTGTCTATTGTGTAAATGTGCACAAGGTTGCTAAATGCGTTTTGTTTTCGTCCATTCGTTTCGTTCTGAGTAATAAGGAATAAAATCTGAGACAAGAAATCAGGTACAATAGGGAAACCTTGGTAAATGAGTTCTTAAGAAATATCAGGAAGACTATGAGCAGTGATCCTGACATTATGAAGACAGAATTCAAAACTCCTACTGTGTTAGCATACAAAACAGGCACATCAGAGGTTTTGTGGTGAATTATCAATAAGGCTACGATTACATTGGCATTCCAGCCAACAAACTCATTTGGAGACAAGCTTTTTAGTCTAGAAGATCCTATTAATCCAATTCAGCGAAACAAATTCCTTGCAATAATTACGAGGCCAAGTACATAGGTCAATGTAGTTAACCATGGTATATTAGATTATCCAGGTACAAGAGCTTCCATAAATCAAGATTAGTCCATCCCATCCTGGTAAGATGGGCTTTGTCTACGCATACATCTGCATACAATAAGATGGAACAGAGTGACAGTCCTTCAAACTAGCTTAGTTAGTTGGAGGAAGAGATTGAAAACGGAATCTTTGTTTATCAAATCAACACTAAATTCGTGCGATATGTATAATTCTGCACTTGTTCTAGCAGTAAGGTGAGGGGGGTGGCCGGGGCTAGGTTAAAACTTTACAAACCGTGAATAAATTTTGTCCGAAACGTTATCCAGTAAATAATTCTGTTTCATCACTATGTGACACATCTGATAAATCAATTGAAGTAGAAAAAATTCGAGTCCTTGTTGTGCATAAAACAAGCTAAAAGTAACATGTCAGTAAGAAAGCTCATTAGTAGTGCATAAACCTAGTCAACAGTAACTATTTATGAGGGGTCAGTTTAGATTTCATTTGATATTCCAATTCTCATGGATTGTCGATTGGGTGGGGGAAAAACTGTTGCTTTGTACACTCGATGCTTACTACGGCCATTGGGTATCTGTGTAAACATGTCATTCTATGCTATATTAATTTCAAATTACAGTCTAACTGCTGTATATGGTGAAATGATACCATTTTTAATCAAAATCATAGGATTTAGACACCCGTATCCATGTTCACATCTAATCTGAAATTGGATCTACATACTACTCCATCCATCATGAAGCAGGTATTATAATTAATCGAGAAAAACCCTTGGTGATTGATGAAGTAAAATAAAAATCTGTTCAGTAGTTGGGCCTTGTAGCTCAGTTGGTAGGACACTAGGCTGGAAACCCAGTGGTCGCTGGTTCGAATCCCACCGAGGTCCGAATTCTCATTTCACAATCAGTAACAATAAATGTCTGCCAAACCACAGCGGCTATCTCAAATATATAGTAAAGGCGAATTCTTTTGAAATGATTGGTTGACTGTACAGCTGACAGAATCCTGTGAGACCGACCAATGAGTCAATAAGATATAGTGTTTGTTATTGACTGATTGGATAAGAGTTAATGACTGTCTATATGACATAATGGTGAATGACAATCAAAAAAAAAAAAGAAAGGATGTGTAATATAACCTCTGAGTGATTATTTTCATTGTTTATTGTCAAATGAAGTCCTACTATTACTTACAAACAGGATGAAATCGGGAGTTTTATGATGAAAAGACCTTAGAAGATTTCGATCCCGTCACCAATGTTGATTTACGTCTAATGTCTTGTCGCACAAACTCGAAGATCTACAGGCCAAAACTAACAAGTTGGCAGAAAAGAGGGCAGCGAAGACGGCACTTCCTTCAGGTGGACGTAGAGAAGACAGAGGTGATGAAGATACCCAACCAAACAACCAACCAACGAACAACAACAAGCACCAATCAATATCAATGGGAGAAATCTAAAGGAAGTTGTCTCTTCCGTCTGCCTACTTAGGCAGGCAACATCGTTACAACTAAAAGGCGGCGGCTGGAAAGACACACGCACAGACGGGGATGTCAAAGCCAGCGAGGGTCGGAAAAACAGCAAGACAGGCTTTTCTGCATTAATCTGAAGTCAGTGTGGAGATCCACTTGACTGCACTCAGCATAAAGCGTGAGCAACATCCGGATTTTCAACACTAATTAGGTCAAGTCAGTGATTCTATGTGATGATTCAGAGACTTGGCGCGTTATGAAAAGCATTTCCAACACATTACAGACATTCATCAACAGCTAGCTGCCTACGCTCGATACTGAAGATCAGATCAGAAGGCCAGGAAGAATAAGCAACAAGGAACTCACTCTAGCTGGTTGGCAACGAACCAACCGACCAACAACCTATCGTCGAACAAATATGTAGAAGAAGAAGAAGAAGAAGGAAGTGGAGATGGATTGGATTGGACATACACTAGGGGACACTAAGCGTCAGGTCCTCGAATAGGACCCGTGTGGGAAACGAGTTGGGCGTCCGAGGATGACATGGAGGAGATCATGTGAGGAAGAAATGGAAGCTGATGGGCAGTGGTGAAGCCAGGTTAAAAAGATTGCAGAGAACATAGTGAAATGGAGACATGCTACTGAAGCCGTATGTTCTTCCACTAGGAACCCAAGGGATAAATAATAGTAAAATACTACAAACACATCCCATTAAACTCAGAGTATTCTTTCCTAAAACCAACTATGAACTACAAGTACTTGACAGTATATTGATGTTTATAAAGTGATGTGCTTTATATACATAAGCATAAATCAAAGTCTCATGAGGAACCGATTGCTTGACCTTTTTCCATAGTGATATACACCGAAAAATTTATTCTCTGGTATACGATAATACACAGCAAGATATCAAAGTATTTTGTATTGTGTCGTCGATTAAAGTTATTTTAGTTTTGTCTACAGAAAAATTATTCACTCTTGAAAGTATTTCAAGACCTCTTAAGATACTGAATCATACTAAAAAATCGTTCAAGGTCATCATAAACGTTAAAGCTAAACTTCGCAAGTGTTCATACACCAATTCACACAATAGGTGTTCAAACCCAATTATTTTTATCTGAAAAAGAGTAGTTTTTTATTGGTCTAAAAAGGAGACTACCAACAAGTGGGTTATGCTGTATTCATTTTAGTAACTAACAGTAGAATCCAGTATGCGCCTTTCGTTCTACTTGGGACTCATCAGTTCAATATACTTGCACCTCAATGAGTGATGGTGTTCCCACTTGAGGTTAGACAAAAGTTATTAGGCAAGATAGGGAAGTCGACTGATAAGGTTGTGAAACTTAGTAGACTGAGATTGCTTAAAAATGTATTCTGTATGTCGAACACGCCTACCTCGACATGTCATGCAAGGGAAAGTTGGATAAGGATGAAAAGGGTTCATAGTTGCCAAACCAATACACATCATCAGTCAATGAAGTCTCTTACTGTTGGTCTAAGACGTGTGGGGCGACGTAGACTGCTTGGCTGCGATTCCCGAGACAAAATGAATCAGTGGTTGAAGATTTTTGGTGACATGGTTGAAAATCGATCACAATATCGCAAATGTATTCACTTCTAGACATCTTCTAAAGCTTAAATATTCACATTACCCTTTATCTTCAGATTGTTCATTCTCTTACACAATTTTGTCTACTTTGATATCACTCTTTTTTTCTATCCAGCTATTCATTGTGTACTTCTGTGTGGCAACTTGAGCTGATGCACTCCTGTTAAGCGTTCTATGTTGATTTTGTCAGTCTGTGTCAGTTGCTGAGATTCGAATCCGGTACTTATCCTTTCAATTTCACTGTTAGTCACCAAGATGAATATTATTATTTATTATTATTAGTCCCTTGGGTTCCTAATGCAACATAGGGCTTCAGTAGCACGTCTCCAGTGAACTCTCTTCTCTGAAATCTTTTGAACCTGGCTCCACGACAGTCCAGAAGCTCTCATTTCCTCCTCACACGATCTCCTCCATGTCACCCTCAGCTAGGACGTCCAACTCGTCGCTTCCCATGGGGATTCCACTCGAGTAACTGTCCTAACGCGTGATATCCCCAGTCGGCGATCTCAGTGTATGCCCAATCTAATCCATCTTCACTTCCTTCCAGTGCATATTTGTTGAGTGATAGGTTCTTGGTTGGTTCGTTCCCAGAGCTCCTTGTTGCTTCTTCTTATTCTTATGCTTATTTTGATCTTCAGTAGCGAGCCAGAGTAAGCAGTTGTTGATGAATGTCTGTAGTTTATTGGAAATCCCTTTCGTAACGCGCCAAGTCTCTGAACCATACAGGAGCACTGACTTGACATTGGTGTTGAAAATCCGGATCTTGTTCCACATGCTGAGTGCAGAAGATCTCCACACTGGTTTCAGGCTAATGAACGCCTATCTTGCTGTCTTTCCGATTCTGACTTTGACATCCTCGTCTGTGCCTGTGCCGCCTGTAGTTGAAACAGTGCTTCCTAGATAGGTGAAGGAGGTTACTTCCTTTAAGTTTCTCCCGTTGATGGTGATTGGAGTTTGTTGTTGTTGGTGGTGCGGTATCTTCATCACCTGATGAATATAATATCATAAATTTTCGGCAGTAGTAGTATCGAGGCATCCATACATAGAAGTCAAGCAATTCAACCCAGTATACAGCAACAGTACCAAACAACGACAACAGAAAGGGGCCACATGTTGAAATCATGCCTCACCCATCAAGATTTTGGTAAAGAAAAGTTATCTTTAACTCTTATATACAATAGGTGTAATTAACTGTAAATGGTTTCTCGGTAATGTGTATAACGCTCGATAGAAGGATAACTAGAAAAGACCAAAAGACAGATAGATTAACTTAATTATAACTAAATATACTATACTACATGAAAGTAAACCTCCGTTGACAGACAAATCTCTGGTATATATATGAGTAAATAATCTATTCGTTATTGTATATACATTAGAAATATATAACAAAAAAACTAACACTAACCTGTAATCTAACCAATTCACTTTGTAATTGATGTGATAAATCATGTAAGCCATTAATTTGTGATTCTAAAGCACGATTCACACGTCCTATCCCATCGATATCCACTTGTAAATACAATGAAATATCCAATAGTTGATTTTTAATTCGTTTCACTGAATTCTCTACATCATTTAATGATGTTGATAATTTTTTAGGGGAGGAATCTTTAAGTTTTCCTATTTTTGCATTGATAATATCTAGTTGAACTAGATTATATTTCACCTCTTTAGCGTAATACAAAGATCGACGACGTAATATTTCATGTGCCATACCATGTCTACCATCTTTAGAAATAATAATGAAAATGATACAGCTGAAGTATATATGGAAAATTTTAAATGAAGTAGGATTAAATCAGAAGCCAAAAAGCTTCAACAATCGAGATAGTTGGAACATGAGTGTATCGAACGCTAAGCTACAGTCTACCTCAATTCGCTCTGTTAGTAAAAGTTAAACAGCCAGTCAATAAAAAACATTGGACCTGGCACTAACTGCTAAAGTAGAACTCGGTTGAAAGAAGAATGACTGAGGTCGATTGCAGACATGGTATCATTCAATGAAGTTCCTAACTATCGATGTCAGCTGAGTACAGAAACATAGATTGCTTTGTTGACCTCCTCTGGTGGATAGGAATCAAAATATTGAGACTTTAAGTGAAATGGCTCAAAATCGAACAAATTGACGACGATGTGCATACTCCATGTTCATCTTTAAAGCTTGAAACTCTTTCACACATCTTCAACTATTTACACTCTTTCCTCTCATATACTTTATTCATTTTTTATCCATCTATTCTTCACATTTTGCTGTGAAGTGATACACTTATATGCTAAGTTCTACGTTGGTCAATCAGCAATCCAACAAATTATCAATTTGACTATCTGAGATAACTGTGATTTCGCAAACCTTAAAATAACCTTACATGTTGTTGCTGGCTTTTTTCCCTCTGCTCTCAAGGCTGAACTCTCATTGGTTGTTAGCTATCTTTACTCATACGTGGATTAAGTGCTGTCAAGGTCATTTAGAGATGTATATATTCAGCATTGCCGTCAACCGTATTGACGATTGTTGAGATATGAAAAGTTCTCTGCCAACGGTCTATCTTCTCTTCGTGTCTTCGTTTGTCGGTGGTATTGTTGCTGAGGTATTTGACGTTGTGACTTGCGTTAAGGGTCGATTCATTCGCACGTTAGATTCATATTGCTAGTAGAGATAGCTACGATCGTATAGCTTGTAGGCTGAAAGATCGCATTACCAGTCATAGCACAGACTTTTATTACTCATACCGGGTAATGATTGAAGATAAAATGAACTTTTCAGCCGCGGCAGGATTCGAACCAGTCCGGTGCTTTAACAACTGAGCTACGAGATCCGATTGCTGAACAGATATTTATTTCAGTACGATCAAGCAATAGTAATGCATCATGCATCGAGTCAAACCCTTGGTGATTGAAGAGAGATTAAAATCTGGTCAGTAATCAAGTCTCGTAGCTGTTCCTTAGAGAATGTGGCCCGAAGCTCAGTGGTCGCTGTTCGAATCCTTCCACGGTTCAAATTTCTATTTTAATTTTAATTATCACTCGGTATCAAACCATTAGATCTCTAATTGTTATTCTCATTTCTTTCGAATGTAGTGGAGTGTAGAATTCTTCATTGAATCTGTAAAGGATAGCAACCGATGATGAATGGTTCGGAATAAATCCAGGTGACATAGATTTATTCATGTTATTCAACTTCAATGTTGTTATCCTTCACTCATTTTAATTAAATTTACTTTTCTATTCTCAGAATTTATTTCATTGCACCTGAAAAGAATATAATGAAACCAGAAAACAACTTCATAAAATATTGATTGTTGTTTCCTCGGCAGACTACTAACGATTTACTTGTTACATAATAAAGTAAATAATTTTTATTCATACAAGAGAGAAATTTGCTCCACATTCAATGAAATCTTTAATCACACATCACAGGGAAATCAATAGAAATGAGAAATAAAGTATGAATCAGAAAAAGAGTATCCAAAGAGAAAGAATAAATGAATAAATAGAGTGATAAAATACTCATGAATAAAAGGAAGACAGAGGTTGAGTGGAGTTAGCGTATGTTACTGCTTAGGAGTATATCAAACAAGATTCTTCAAACACTGACAAGATTCCCTAATTAATCTCTCTCTCCACCCGTATCTGTGTTAATCGAATCCACACCTAACACATGTAATAGGAATGACGCAACACCTATACCAGAGATATGGAAAACTTTACTACCAATCAAAAAAACAAAGAGAGATCAGGTGACAGCAATATAAAATCAGATATCGAAAGAAGTCTGATTACATTGATATGATTATGAGCAGTAATAATTTATGCTCGAAACATAATCAATTAAATAATACTGTATCACTGTGCGCTTTATATCAAATAAACAAATCTAATATGGAATTACATTCTACCACAGTGCCCAGGTTTTACAGTTATATTTATCTCACCCTGTTTTGTGATTGTGTTGATGGATCCATTGCAATAGCGGTGTATTTTCCTAGATTATTGATAGGCTTTGGCGGCTTAAGGATCCAACGGATCCAACCAAGCAATATAGTCTAAGCTAACAAATTCCATGCAATAACTATGAGGTTATAAGTCAAACTAGCCGGTGGGGGTCAGTTTGATTATTGGAACATGGTCGCTCATAGTTGCTCACAATCTTGTCAATGTAATCACACAAATTTCGACATTTGATTTTTAGTACGTCATCTCATATGACTTGTTTTATTGGCAGTAAAATCTTCCATATCTCTGGTATAGGTGTTGTGCCATGTTGAATGTTGATTCGATGAACAAAGATTGAGTAATCAATCCCTCCATCTAATTATATTGGACTTAAGTACGGTGGCTTTATCCCACCCATGCTATTGTGTGGTTGAGTGTTAATGCATGCAATGCGATAGAAGTGTCTCCTACTAGATTACTGATCCTACCTAGGTCTGTTATTCTATATTTAGATAAATTCCTTTGTTTGGCTATTCAAACCGACAGCTAGTTTGACCTATATACTTGACATCACAGTCATTGCATGGAATTTGATAGATTAGATTATTTTTCTTAACTGGTTCTATCGCACCCTTATGCCAGCCGACAAAGCTTAAGTCTCAGTAAGTTTGTAGGTTTGAATGTCACTCTAATACCAGCTTTGTTGAGGATTCTACATAAAGTTTCTGATGTACCTTCTTTATAGGATAACAAAATGGAGGCTGTGAACTCCCTTACACTCCGTGTTGTTGTCATCATTATTATTTCGTTACTTGTGTGTTCATAGGAACTTCTTAATAAACGGTAGAGGACAATTATTAACTTTTATCGCTTCTTTGATGTGTTTCAGTTCCTTGTTCAGGTCCTTACAATGACCAGTCAGTTTTCTAGTTCTATCATTTAGACAACTGACTAAACCTGCTTTAGCTGACTGACATTGGATGACATGACTTGAAGTCTAAATACCTGTTAAAATGAAGATTTCATGAAGTAAATAATGTCATCTTATCCTGCAATCGGTACTGTTATTGCGTTATTTACGCAGTTTACTTATTTAAATGAATAATAACAATAATAATAAGTAGAATATGTTGACAATAGAGTCACTGTAAAGCACTTCCACGGCTTATCTATCTACGCAATGTGCCGTAGAATTTGAATAGAAACCGATCATAATAACTTTATGCAAGCAATGTCAAAATGAATTTAACATTTACCTGACTTTTCAGTATCTTCTGTGACAGGACTGGCATTCCTACTAAAAAGAATAACATAAATAAGAAATTTACATTACTTTTAGTGATAATAATATTATTTTAACTGTCTGACATAGCTGTCGTGGTTTAGCAGATTTGTATTTTTTTATTGATACCGGAGGATGTTTGAAGGTGAAATGAAAATTTGGGCCAGCAACCAACAGGTTACTCGGCTAGGTGTTGTACCAACTGAGTACCGTCGATGTGTACACCACTAGTGAGACATTTGACTGGAATTGGATTATTCATATTGCTTGTAGGTACAGTTACTGCGTGATACTATAGCAACTTCGTTTCTATCCAATCACCTTATTAATAGATATTTGTGTTTGAAAAACTTCATCCTGAATTTAGTCACTAGACAGTTTTATGGGATTCTAACTAATTGGGTTTGTTTGTTTTCTGGGCAGTTTTGAAAGAACTCATGCATTGATATGCATGTATAAAATATGAGCAAGTTTACATAGACACACGCAGACTATCAAAAACATTTCACAAAATCAGAGAAAAAAAATTGATGGATCCACAATACTAAAAATGGCATCCATAATAAAGAAGTGATCAGATTTTGCTTCCCAAGAGGCTTGATACTACCAGTGAGTTCGACTCCTGGTGGCGACATGAATGGGCAATGCTGAAGAGTCTTATATTAGGACGAAACGGATGTCTAGTACCCTCAGATTTTCAACGGTTCTGCAACTGATGTCAGTTCGTTTTGAATACTACCGAGGAATTAATAAATATCAAAAACGTCAGAGGGGAAATTAAACAGCATTTAGCATTCGGATTAGTAGTAATACGGCGAACAGTTTTCACACCGAAAAGGGAACTTTGCTCCTTCATACTTTAATTTTAACTAAATGTGAATATATGATAAAAATCTACATCGAAATCATGTATTTGCGAGTAGTTAGTCAGAATTCAAGTCTTCGAAACAACTCCAGCATCCCGTTGATAGGTTGCAACCCCAGGTCAATGAAATTACAACCTGATGCTTCGATTACTATCAACTGCTTAGAGAGTATTGATGAACGGGAGCCGTCTATAGGTACTCATCTCACCTAGACGTATACTTTAAAGACTTAAAGCGTTTACGAGTGTCCATAAAACGTTTTCTTGCATATTTGCTGAAACATTTCATGATCTAACTTCGAAGCCACATATACAAGATTGTTATGAGAGGAGGCTACAGTATAAGAGATACCCATTTCATAGTGGAATAGTCTATTTAACATAGTACAAAGTGACACAGTATTATTTACTAAGTGACGCTTCCAGCACAATTTATCCCTCATGATTATAATTCTCGCCTATGTACATCAGTACCTAGATACAAGGTTACAACAACAACATGATATGTCATCAGGCTGTCTAAGAAAAGAACCGCACAGAATTCACTAAGAAAATGTCTATCATTCGAAGTGAAATTGAACAACGGAAATGCGGACTGATGAAGACGTTAAACAGCAGGGACTATGAAATCTTGATTGAAACATTCAATAGAAGAAGATCATCTGCTTCCAATAATTTCGGGAAAGTCTGACAAACTGATAGAAAGTATATCATCAATGGAAAACCATCAACCATACATAGAAGGAAGTCGATGATCAACTTTTCAACCAGAGCATTAAGTAGAAATGAAATGCAAGTATTTGAAAAAAACGGCTAAGATCCAACGTGGTAGTAAGTCAGTTGAAACTTGAAGATATCATTCCTAGCATAGCTATAGTACTAAGCTCAACAACAAAAAACAACAACTGGAAAACAAGACAAGTCGGAGCACAATGTACGCTAGGCCTTGAAATAACCGAAGAAGCTGAGATAAAACTAAACACGATCAGCAGAATCTAAGAACTGACAATAGTAGAGTAGTTACCAAATCTGATAAGAGCGATTACACAATGGTTACGAATAAGTCGGATTACTTCACGAAAGTCAAGGAACACATCTAAATAGGTTCATATGAAAAGACTAAGAAAACTTTAGACACTATTATGAATGCCATCAACAGGTTTACAGCTGATGTAGTACACCGAATGAAGCAATCTCTGTTCACATTAATATTGAATATTAATAATATAAGTAAACCCAGTTATACGTTTAGACCGGTAGTTGACTTTAGGAACACTCCAACTATCCAAAATATTTAGCGCCAATACTATGCCCTACTAGAAACCACTCAAACTCTAAATTAATCGATTTCATACGAAAAACGGAGCAAAGGTTAAACAATAACTGCATAGAAGAAAATGAAAAATGACTACTTTTGATGCGATAATCTTATATACACTAATGTGTCAATTACTATCGCTCTAGAAGACTTCAGACTAAAATGTGACTTTTCATCTACGTTGTGTAGACTTCAATCGATGCTTTATTTTTTTACCAACCAAAATCGATATTTTGAGAATCGATGTCATGAATGCAACGTCAGTATCGAAGCATTCGCATAAGATCCCATTTGCCAACAGAAGTTTAGCAATTCGACCCGTACAGCATCGGGGAATTACAAATGGTTGAGCGCGTTGAACACAACTTATTACCTGGGAAGTCGGAAAAGCCCTGCCCTGGTGGCTCAGTGGCCGATGAAATCTGTGCACAGATACAAAAGGCTCGTCCGACTTTTGCCAACTTACGCCATCCAATTGTGTATTTAAAGGTCGAGTGTACTGTGCTTCAGTCCGCTCTGTTCTACTCCATGGCTGTGAAACATGGTCATTAAAGATATAGGACATCAGAAGGCATAGGCAGTTTGACCACCATTGCCTTCGTAGTATAGGCCGTGTTTCGTGGTGTGAGACGTAGAGTTTTAAGGGGGAGAGGTAATAGAGTTGATGAGGTTGTGAAACTACATCAACCGAGATGGTTGGGACATGAGTTGCATATTCCTAGACACCGTCTGCCTCGTCGTACAATGTTCACAGAAGTGGGTTTAAACTGAAAAAAGACTAGGATGGCCCAGAATAGAACATGGCATCCATACAAGAAGTCCTTAACTGCTCGTTTGAACCATATAGGGAGATACGGACCAGCCAGTTGAGGATTCAGTAAATTGAAATTTGTTTTTGTTTAACTTGGTCAATAGTATCCTAAAGACAAAAAATTCCCTCTCCAAGTGAGGTTGTAGGTTCAGTTGACAGCGTAATCTCAGGTCTACTGACAACCCTAAGTAGAGTAGCCAATATACCTTCCTTGAGTGAAAGGTTCAAACGTAATCCAATACCGATCAAATCCGATTCCGATTATTGCTTAAATACCAATATGCCCCTGTCTATGTATCCGTAACAATTTCCCAAAACAGTCAATGAAAAAAGTACATGAAGGAAACGCCACACATTACTTCGAAATTCTTAACCCCAAGTGCAGTATCTCATTAAAAGCAGCGTTTCTCAACTACCTCAGATGCACCACGTTTATCTATCAATACCATCGCTAGCTCCATCTCAAAGCGAAATAAACAAATCACTTAAAAGTACCCAGAAGAACTTTACTGACAGACGCCAATCAATGCTTTTACACACCTAAATACCTCCATAATCCAAACCTTGTTCAAGAATTCTCTACACGGTCTCCTTACCCTGTGTTATTTATCTAGCGACACATCACAGCAATCTAATTCTCAGTGGCATTCCTAATTTCGTTCACACTGTCACTTCTTCGTTAAAGAAATCCCATATATTCCTCAAATCACTGAATCGTAGAGTTTAGGTGTTCGATTGAGATGAAAAGTATTAAAAGAAGTTGAAGGCTATCAATCAGTCTGATTGTTTCAGATAACAAATGTGACAAGGTGGTTGGCAATTAGATGCACCTGACAGATTTTTCAGCAACCTGAGTCAATGAAGGCTGACAACCTTATTGACTGGCACACTACATTTGGCTGATACTTTGTGTTCGGCATCTAAATTACATGCGTGTAAGTCCCACAACAGATTATCGGTGATACAAAGGGAAATGTTGTTGACCTCGTGACCTCGCAAACCTGAGTGCAGTTCATCTTTCCGAATTGACAATTTTCACAGCACCATTCTGCTTCACAGAGGCTCTCCACAAGTTACTGATTTACAGCCAAGAACCGAATTCCTTTCCCGTTTATTACTTTCGTCTAGGGGATCCGACCAAGCAGTCTGCATCTCGCTCACACGACTCAGAACAACGGTCTAAGAACTTCATCGACTCGTCCCTCGTCTTTGTCTGACCACCCTGAACCCTGTTACAACCTAATCCAGCTTCTCATAACTTTTCGCGTAGAGGTAGGCGGTGAATCGGCACGAGCAATACGTGTCCAAGCCATTTCAGTCGACTAAGGTTGACAATCGTAATAATACACGTAAACAGTGATATACAAAGGTTAGCATAGATAGATAAAGAGGTTCATCACGGAATCTCTGTTCATCGAATAAACTATGTAGTACATACATTGAGAATTAAACAACATTGGTTTTCGATTAGGAGAAAGTGCTACTGTCATTGACATTAAAAGAACAGCAACTTTAAGGCACAGAACAAAATATCTCAACAGACTCGAATGGATATTATTTTTATTATTATTGTAGTAATTGCATTTGCGGGTTTAGCAGAAACACTACTTCAATAAAACCCATGAATTTCGAGTGGGTCGTGGGGATTTAGAAATATTTTCAAGTTGGTATTCATCGTAGACTGACATCAGTTGGAGGAACAATGGAAACCTGGAGGCACTGGACAGCTGTTTCGTTCTAGTATGGGACTCCTCAGTAGTGCGCACCCACAACCCCGCCAGGGATCAAACCTAGGACCTTCATGTTCCGTGGCCAACACGTCACCATTGAGTCAGTGGGTCGGAATCCAATGGTCTATATTTCCAACTTCTGTCAGTTCACGACATAGCGCAACCGGCACCCAATGTCACCGTTGAGTTACTGTCCTCACGACCATCAGGCTAGCCCCACCGGTCACGACTTCTCATTGGAACTTCGGGAATCACCTCTCGAAGCTAGTCACCAATGAGCACCAGTTCAAT